GGTATCCTTCCCCCCTTAGCTGCTGGAGTGGCTTCTGTGCGTTCAGCTACATGTGTAACGCCCTCAAACTCAAGAGACATGAAGGGAAAACTACATGCAAGTCCTTCCAGCTACCCTGGTGCCTCAGCCTGCAGCATAACTCAGACTCTTTCTCCCAGTCAATCAATTGATAAGTCCTTTATTAGTAAATACATTGCTCAAGTAGTAGATTGGCCAATAAATGCATGAGGAGTGGGTTAGGGGTGAACACTGTGTCAGTATACAGTCATACACACCCCATCCTCCAACACAAACTCGCACTCTCCACTGATACCCCCTCTGCACCATCCCCAGCTAGATTTCAGGCCGTCTCACATCTGTGATCTGCACTTCTTCTTCCTTTCAAAAACTGCAGAAAGCTTTTTTATCACTGTAGCCGCCCGAGGAGAGGGAGAGCCTGAGATCTCGGATTCCTGCTGTGGTGGTGCACGCAGGTCACAAGAACCCTCTCCGACTGATCTCTCTGTAGTGCCGACGAACCCCAGCCGGCTCGATGTTCCGAAGAAAAAAAAAAAGGAGCTTCTTCTTAATGATAAACATACACAATTACATAATTCTGTGGCTTGGGTTAAAAATAGCTACATTTATAGCGCGGCTCAGATAGGCATCTGAAGTAAGCCCTTGAGCACAAACACCTTTGAGCACAGCTGGACACAGAACACAGGAGAAATGGAAACGAAGAGGGGAGATAAAGGCAGTTTATCTCTTGGATCTAAGACCTGGGGGTCATTTCACACCTCTTCAGGGGCAGAGGTGGGGGATGACTGAGGTGTATGTGTGAGGGGGGAGGTACTGCATAAATGTGCAGCAACAGTATGAAAACAGTAGGACATGTGGGATGGTTTGTTTCAGATGCGTGAGGAGAGCCGTCAGGGCCAGGAGTATCCGGTGGGGCTGAGATGGGAGGCAAGGCCCGGGGTTATGGGGGGGGGGGGGGGGGGGGGGGAGACTGTGTGTCTTTGCCCTATTTATAGTGTCGGGTTCGTTTGAAGGCGGCATTCCACCCAGGCTAGGTGAGGGGAAAGGGCAGAGCGGGGCTGGGGGCTCTGGCTGGGTGACGCAGCGCCGCGATGCCCTTCGTGAAGGTGAACCGTGGGAGTGGGAGCGGAGGAGCCTCTCCGCACGGCTGTGGGGGAGGTCTGGAGAGGAAAGCCGGTGGTGTCCTGAGTGCGACTGCTCACCGCAGGGCTGTTACACACTCTGACTGGGACTGTGTGGGACACGCAGCACTTCCAGCACACAGAAGAGATCTTTGAATGAAATAAACATACCGAGTTCATCCAGGGACATAACTAGGGCTCCCAGATGGGTAGCAGTAGGATGCATTTCTCTACTGACTGTTTACCATGAAACAAATTCCAACGACGAAGCAGGAAAGCCATTTTATTTTAAAAGTAATTTTAGGTTCTTACATCTGTCTCTGCGGAATGGGGCCAATCTGACGTGTAACGGAAATCATATCGGTTTCACTGTTTTGCTATAAGGCTTCAGTCCTCTTATCTGGAGACTTAAAGCCCAGAAAAGTTCCCGGTGAAGTGTTCTGACCCCTGAGGACAGGAGGAATGGCACTAGTCCAGGAATACCGGCTGTGAACCCATGTACATCAGCAATAAAAAAGGATAGAACACCCTGTGCAAAGAGCGTAAATGATAATAGTTGGACGTCCTCTTCCATGTGTGCTTTTATATTTTTTTTTAGTATTTACAGATATGAGGTGTTTTGAGTGACGATCTTAATGTATTTAGAAATACGCAAAATTATGTGTCTCGAGAACCGTAACCATGTACATCCCCATCTAAAAGAGTGCGGGGAGCATTTTGGGTTATTTGCGCTCTAAAGGAACTACAGTCAGTGTGTAGACACGATTTATAAATCTTTCCAAATGTTATTTACAATAGAGTATACTGCAACTCCCACAGGAAGTGATGGCCCAAAAAATATAACGTTTTTCATTTGGACTTTTCATTGAGGTGCAGTTAAATGTAGTGTTTGTTTTATCTCGCAAGCAGGTATAAGCCTGATGTTCTCCCTTTGTGTAATGATCTGCAGTAATCATCAGTACTCAATCAGTAATCAATGTCATCCTGTAAAGCGCTTTGAGAAGCCACCTTTAAAGGCGCTATATAAAATAAAGTTTATTATTATTATTATTATTATAATCATTGTTGGTGCCCATAAGAATGAAAAAATGCAGTCTTCTATTTTGTGTGCTTTCTAGTGTACAATTGGGAGTAAAAAAAAGGTATTAAGGTGAAACAGACCGTGCAGTGGAGGTCTAATGAGGATCTCCTTGCTGGAGAGCTGGAGAGTGCAGTGGACTACATGCGTCACTCTAAGTGACAGGAGTGATGCAAGTTAACGTTTCCTGCAGGACTCCCCCAGACCCGAGCTGACAGGACGCACTGACTGCCGCACTAATGACTCCGCTGTCAGGCCCATCACTTTCCCCTCGTCTTTCTGGCTCACAGCCCTCGTTCTCTGTATCTCTTTCTGCCCACTGCACAAGAGCAGTTACTAACAAGAGACCAGTAGATATCTGGTTCAAGAATCTCCCCTTGTCCTCTTTTGAAGAAAGACGGGTATCATCAGCTTCACCAAGATGGCTGAGAAGCTTGTTCACAACCCTTTGTGCAAAAATGTGCTCTGCTAAAAAATGTCAAAGTTCTGCTCCCTGCGAAGAGAATAAGCCCCTCCTTCCTAGCAGGGCAGGCTACAAGAGTCTTGGTTTTAACTTAAACCCACTTACCTTTTACTGCGTGTGACACAGCAGCTAGTTACAGCGAACAACACTCCCTCCTAGCTCGTTTCCTGCTGTCGGTCCTATTCTCCATTCAGAAATCAGTGATGTCTCTCGCCTCCAGTGAAATGGACCCACATACTCTGGGGCAGAAGGGGCAGGGAGAAAGAGGGCATGGATGGGCACAAAAACATCATTATACTGTACTAAAGCAGGACTGCAGATATGTCCAGTGTTTCAAGGCACCAATCACTGGGGTGGTGTGCTATGGCATCAGAGAGCTGTACGAAATGTAGATTATCTGGAAAGTAATTTGGATTTGTTAAGAGAGGAAGATAAAAAATGATTGATGGGGCTGTTGATTGTGCCTCGATAGCCTTGTGTATTTGCTGCGAGGTGTTTCCACTTACGGAATCAGATGTAATGGACTGCTTTAATTGGAAAACATCTGTGATTGATTAGGACCATCAAACACATCCTGGAAATGTGGCAGTGCGAGAAGAATGCCTTCCGCTCTCCAGCAGCTGTTCGGATGACAAACTCTCCTATTTTGCAGTTGTGAGTGTTCATCTCCTCGTTTTTTTTCTAACCCTCTCCCCCCCTCCGCCTTCACAGGCAACCCAAATAATCTAGCTGTGATGACAAGCTTAAAAATGCTGTGAGAACATCATTCACCTTTACAGTGATTATCCCTACAATGGACAGGGTGGTCACGGAAAATCCTGCAGCCCTACTTCCCGAATTTTATTCTATTCTTATTGTTGTTAAGATCAGCAATGCACTCACAAATACCACCAGGAGCCCGGCTGAAGGTCTTAAGGATAAAAGCCTGTAACAGCCTTAAAACTGTACACGTCAATGAGTTCTGCCAGGTTTTCTCTTCTTGTCATTCATTACTCGGAGACTCCTGGACAGAAATGTCCGAAATGCCCGTTTCTGAAGGACAGTTGTGGTCTAGTGGGGAGAGGGACGCAGGAAGGACAGTGAAAGGCAATTAAGTATGCAACACTGGACACGCCGCAGAAGACAGGTGACACTGCTGACATTGTGATGTTGTGAATATCAGCGGCTCCCGTCCTTCAGGTGGGCCAGCGTCAGAGGAGGTTTTGATGAGCTGGACAACGACGTAGTTATGGGAGTTTTAGGATACTCTCTCTCCACCTCTCCCTGTCGCTGTTTCTCTCTTATTCCTGTATTCTGTACATCGCCACACCCTGTTATCTGTGGATACTCCAGCATACCTTGTAATCTGTAACCTCCCCCACGCTCTGTAATCTTTACACTACATCTCCCATAGCCTCTACTCTTATACCCCACACCCTGTAATCTGTACAG